GCCGCCGCCGACGTAGCCGTTGCCATTGCGGCTAAGTCAGTGAAGTCATTTGTGTTTGCGGCGTGTGGGCTCCGAGTTTGTGGAATTTATTGCTTGAAAACTTAGTGCCTTGACTCGCAAATTACATTTTGCAATTAAAAAGAAAATTAATTGAAAATATCTTTTAAATAGAAAATAAAAATTTTAAGAGCTTCCTCAATTTGTTGAAGTCATCCCAAAAGTTGATAAGTTGACGGATTATAGAATCCACTTTGCAATGCACTGTAGTGGCACTATAAAAACCATATATTTGAATATTTATCAGAACTATGGCAAACTTATTAAAATTAAATGAATAGGATTTTCCAAGAAATCTATGTCGTCCCCCTCAACTTAATTCGCGTGGTCCCAATACACTTTTGCCAACGTTTTCYCCAATCTTCGAAACAGTATTTAAAGTCAATTTCCGGAACTTAATGACTTCARTTGACCCAAAACGGTTACCTGCAGCGATCGTTTGAGTTTGCTGAATAGGCCGAAGTCACGATATTGCTTGAAATTTTGAAAAAAACTCACGAAGAATCAATACAGTGTGCGACGGTTCATTATCATTGTGCAAATACCAWAAGTTGTCAGACCATAATTCCGGTCGGAAAGAAATTAAGAGTACACCACACCTCACTAATCGAAACTGTCCAAATTTGATTTTTGGCTTGCTTTCACGTGATTTTTTCGGCTTCGGCACATTACTATGACGATATTTGATCGATTGATCATCTGTTTGTCGTAAGCATAAATCCAAAACTCATCGCAAGCAATTATACATTTCAAAACGTCTTCATAGTTAGAAATCCTTGTCTCACAAACGTTAACGCGACGATGTTATTAAGATAGAATGAGTGATTTTGTAACCAATCGTGGTTTCACTCTTCTTAAGCCCAAATGATCTTTCAAAATAGTTTTCATTGATTCTTCCGATATTCCAACGATTCCAGYCATATATCTGATTGTTAATCGTCGATTCTCAAGCAAAAATTGGTACACTTTATCGACGTGTTGATCATCATTTAAGGTTGGTGGCCGTCCTGAACATGGTTCGTCTTCAACGTCGTKCTCGACCCTCTTTGAATAATTTCTACGAATCAAAAGCAGTTGCTCGTGACAAACAATTATCACTGAAGGCCTTTTTCAACATTCCGAACGTTTYGGCWTCAAAGATTTGATTCCGAACACAAAATTTAGTTTAACACCTTTATTGAATAATTCCACTAATCGTAAAAATCGTCGAATGAACTTTWTGTACCTTAGAAAGACAAGCGTATACCAAACTTTAATGATTATTATGATACACAGATGTCACTGGCAGTCATATCAACCTAAAAAAATAAATTTTTCGAGGAATTGGTTTTTCCGCGAAATTTAAATTAAAAAGTATTACTATTTTTTGTCCACAGTTACCTTGATGTCTGGTTAGTAATGTGAGTAAACTATGGTTTCAAACTTCCACTGAGGAAAAATCTAAAACATTTTGTTATTTTTTATGGTGATACTCTATCATGAAAAATATATTCACTTTTTGCTTCATAAAACGAATTCCTAGAATCAATCAACGATTCGTAAGTGTCAAAAAATCTACTTGGAATTTTTTTAAAAAATCAAATAAGTTTTAATTAAGAATGTGGTAAAAATAAGAAACTAATGTGGCTGACGTCTAACAATAAGTTGCGCCCCTGGGAGAGACAAAAAGTATAATTTTTATTTATTTTAATAATTAAATGCTTTTTATAATCAACTATTGGATTAATATATTTAAAGTAAAAAAACGAAATATTCTAACTTGAAACATACTCTATAAGTTAACCTTCCAATAATATTCTAAAATTATATAACCTCAAAAATCAGATAGTGTCAATGATTTTATCTAACTTAAGTACTTTATCTATGATTTTTTTTGTAATGATAATCAGCTTATATTCCATAAAGTCAGCTCAACCAGAAGATAGCTGTTAACAATGGCAAGTATTGAACTATGGCTTTTACCTCATTACACAAAATCGTGTTAAGATGAACATTAAATTGTTTTGAAACCGTGATTTATTTTGGTTCTTATGCCGTACGGAAAAAAGGTAGTTTTAACTCTAATTCTAAGTCCGAAAATAGAAAAAAATGGGAGTCTTAAMTGTAATCCTTCGTCATGACGTTAATAAAGTTACATAGGTAGGTATTACATGTCTGGAACTCTTTTGGTATGTTAAAAGACCAATACTAAGCCTCTTACACCGGACATCATACTCTGGTGTTGTAAATAGACACTTCAATGAACAATAATAACTCTCATACGCCAACAAAAGTGACAGAGAAACCCTCCGATATTAGTAAATACCTATACTACTGGGATATAACTATGCCACCGCCACACTACAAATATCTACAAAATTTTTGGTTTTCCACAAAACAATCTTTCAATACAACAACTATTGAACTCGCAAAGAATGCTGGTAAAAATGAAAACAAAACAAAAAACAACAACAATAARAATGCASTAAATTGCAGCAACCATAATACATCAAACGTCAAATTGCTAGAGTGACAGTTGTCAGTGTCAGTCAAATGAAATAGAAATAACAAACAACAACTACGACTGCACACAGACTACAAATACCAAACAAAAAAAAAAACACACACATAACCCATAAAGGACCGTATTGAAACTACGGTGTTGCATGGTTAATGCGCTTAAATATTCGATACCACTTCCATACTTCTATGCGTGGTGCTGGTCTCTTTGGGAGTATAGTAGGTGACCATTTTTTGAAGTGTTCAGTGCAAAACCAGTAGTTGCAAGTATTAATAGAACAACAAAAACTGAACAACCGACCCACAGATAAATGCAAAGCCTGATGAATAGAGGCTCTAGCGAGCAATAACGTCCGTACAATGGGCCAGGCAATTGCGATGAATGGTATCGCCGTCAGACAAGCACTAGTAAACAAATAGCCACCGCAGCAACAGCAAAACAACAACAACAATGGCGGCACCTACAAAGTACAGCATTTGTAATGGTCGAACTGGTTACATTGTATGTAGAAGGAACTATTGTAGTAGCAACAGCAACAACASCAGCAGCAGTAAACATTGTAGCAGCCAAGTGAAACTCCATTTCCTTATTGTGCGAAGATTGTGACGATTTCACAAGGTTTTTTACTTTTCTTACATGTATGTATGTATGTATGTAAGTGCCTATGTCTTTTTTGACTGCGCACATGSACAACTACTGCATTTAACGAGCCGACGTCTGCCTACATATCGGCAATGCCGTTGTTGGATAGACATTCATCAGCGCAAAAACATACACTTGCGCGGGAGAAGAGCAATGTGTTTTCACTTGCTCAAGAGGCCGTAGTCGTATGCCCATAAGCTGTCCACACCGCTCTCTTCAGGTATTTACAATTTTTCCATCGGTTTCCCTATCATCCAAGCCTTCCATCGCGTATGTGCGCATATACTTAGTTATATTTATATTTTTCTGATTTCTTGGATATTTTGCACATTCACATGTTCGTCTATGCAGGCCGATCGCAAAGTACCGTTGAAATGCGGTTTATAACCGTTTAACAACCATTCACGTAAATGTCAGCATTTTGCAATTTTGCTTTTAATKATTTATTCCTTTCAGCGACGTCTCGGTGCAACTCGCTGACGATTTACAGAATAAGCATAACTTTCGCTGCGGTCTAAACCATTTGTTTTTGGATCATTTATTATTTGCATTCAGTTCTTGGAAAATAATTTTGTGGCGAATTTGTACTTTGATATTCGTTTATTGAAGTGTTGATGAATTGAAGCAGCTGTTTACGGRAGTCATAAAGTAAGCGTGTGAAGAACATGTAAGGATGTGAAAATGTAGTTKTTTTGCGAATATACATATATTTTGCACTTGTACTTGTACTTGCACAGAACTTTAAAATATTTAAGACATTTTTTCAAAGTAAGAGAGGAGAAAATTATAGAAGATTTTCTTGAAAATAAGTTCGTAAATACATATGTACAAACAATGTAAATATGTACTTTATAATTTATGAACCCAGCTATAAAAAAAACAAAAGGTAGTTTTATAAGCCACCAACTGGTTTTGGAATGGATAATAATAGTCATTAAAAAAAAAGGTCTTCATATTAACTTCTGAAATTCGTACCAACATACTCTTGGACTAAAAAAARGCTATAAAATACAAATGTATTATTTGCAAAAATACCAACTGATCAAATTTGAACCGGACTGGTCAGTTAAATTTCACGCGCAAGCTATAAAATGAAACAAGTAAAGTTTGCCTAGTAATTTATATTWAAAAAAAACAATGATGTTGCTTAAAATTTGCTTCGATTGGTAGAAAATGTTATAGAAGTGTTTTGGGGAGTCTATTTAAAYAAGTACTTGAGTGRCACGAAGCATTCAGTAAAGTTCGTAGTCAAAGAAAGCTTCTTTCTTTCTTAAAGAAACAGTGCTTGAAAATCGTCTTATCGGCATCAGAGAGATAGTGTAAGATCTCAACATATTTTATGGATTCACTCAACACAATTTGGTTAATATTTTTGCTATGAAACGTGCCCAAACTACGTCGAGTAGAGGTCGGAAAAGTGATTGAAAACATAGCTGAGGACAGTAGATTTATAAAACGCACCATTACTGGTGGCGAGAAAAATAAGTTGAAATCTAAAAATCCAAAATTTGCAGAAGGCACTAAAAGTCAGGCTTAAGTGCAACAAGAGATCTGCAAGTAATCTCACTGATGGTTTAAGGTAACCAGATATCCTATTAAAAGGTTTCGTTCTCATTTACATGGTCAGGTCAGTCATAAATACGTATGTATTTGTACACTGCTTGAACTTTAGATATCCTTTAAAAGTCAATATTTTGAAAATGATTGAAGTAATTCAAATTTATAAGCTCATCAGTTGCACTTAGTATGCTATTAACTTTAATATACTAAACTAATTAAGAAAATGCCTTAACTAACTCACCTGATCAGTAGCACCGTTAACGCTGSCCAACAGGACAAACAGCGTGACCGCGAGTAAAAATTTACTGCTACCGCTGGTGGTCACATGTGTTGGCGTGAGACTGGTTAAAATGCCACCAGCCGCGCGCCGTTTGCCCGCCGTCATCTCCGAACCCGACGTTGCTATCCAAGTAGTTGATGTTGGCGATGCGTTTTTGTAGATGTTACACATGGTTTTTGTTGGTTTTGTTTTTAATTTTACTTGATACGTTGATAACGTTTGGGAATAAATTTTATGATATTTTTCAAAAGACGTACAAAAAACGCAGTGATAAAAGAGGAATTAAATCCCAGAGATTTATTTGCTTTCAAATTTATTTTCAGCGCCTGAAAATATTTCCGAATAGCTGAGGAGGACAAAAACRAATTTAAATGAATTTTCACAAACACTTTTTGTAATAAACACTGAATTTGCACATTTTGAAATTAAGAATTTTTTTTAACTCGCGCGAACTTTATTTAAATTTTAAATATTTTTCAATTATTTAACCTTCATTCTCAGAACTCAACTGTTGTTTTGCAATCATTCCAGGTCCAACAGAATCGTTACTATGTT